TTCTTTAGTTTTTTAGCCAGTGAAAAGCACATAAAAATGTTCTTTAATCTAGCTTGATTATTTTATTATCTAACTGATAGGATAAAGTGGTTCTGCTTCAGAAAAAGAAGAGAATGCTTTTGAACAACAGCATGAAGATGAAGGAAACCATGTAGGGCACTTACTCCTGTACCATCACCCACCCATGTGAGGATAACATAGGAGCCATCATCACCATTAAACCCTGTCTAGGAGAAGAAAACATAAAAGGCTTTAACCTTCACATTTACGACAAGATCTTAATCAAACTTTTTCTTCTTTAAAAATACACATTTTAATCATTCATCAGCCTTCTTTTTGTGTTGCAGCTCTACTCCAAACAATTCATTATTACTTATTAACAGGTGACTTTTTTTCACATAGCAGCACTCTCACCTTCTGGGTGTTATCATCCAGGATCTTGTGTTCATTCGGGGTGAGGGGCAGCCGACAGGAGGTGAACGCAGGACCGTGAGAGGTGTTTGAGGATTCCGTGGAGCCGCTGGTGTCCCTCCGTAGGCGTGGGGGCCTTTGTTCCCTGCGGAAAGTGACCGTCTTGCCCCAGGGGCTGCTGCTGCTGCTGACTTCACCTCTGAGAAGCATTGCAAATTGGAGGACGCACACCCCGCCAAGGACTGCAGAGGTCCAGATCATGTCAGCAGAGAATCAGGGGCCCCTCAGGTGAAGGAAAATAAAGTGACCGGTGTCCCTGCAGGTACTGGCTCAGTTACAGGTGCTGCGCTCTGACAGCCAGCAGGGGTGGGGTGTGTTTCAATGGGTCATTAACATAAAGTGCTGCGTTAAGGGAGTTGGTGCTTCTGCACGCATCCATGTGACCTACAGGAAGGATTAACATTTCAACACAAAATGATGTGAACCAATCTTTGCTCGCCTGATGGTCACTTTTGAGTAACCTTGTCTTTCACATCCTTTATTTTAATAGTGTGTTTATTAATAGGTTTTAATTCCTTCAAAATGTATTTCAAATATTTTCTTTCATGTAGGTCTATTGTCAATATTCCCTAATTAAAGAAAGCTTCATTTAATCTGTCTCTTGGCTTGTGGTTGTGTCTGAGTCAACTCAGATCCTTAAAATCATGGCAGGCAGATCTAATAAAATCACCAATAAAGGTAAAAATCACATTATATAGATTCATTATACTCATATTTTATGTTTAAAACTTAAATAAGCCCCAGCAATTAATTCATATGGGTTTAAAATATTGCAAAATACCAAATATATATATATATATATATATATATATATATATATATATATATATATATATATATATATATATATATATATATATATAAACTTGCTGACTTGACATTCGTCCAGCAGACAGTTACTGATCCCTCCATAGGCTGGGTAAGACAAGATATATGGAGGAAATAAGATTAATGGGGGGGGGAGAAAAAGTAATGTAGCAATGAGAATGTTTATATATGCCCACTGCTTATGTTGGACCAGTAGAAACATGAGCTGATGTTTTTTTTTTTATCTTTTCATGACTCAACCAGGTGAGCTTCAGGTGCCAAAGCACTTTAAGAAATCTTGAGATTGGACTAACAAGCTTTCATTTTTGTTTATGTACGTACAAGATACGAAGAGGAGGACATGTTCAGACAAGGAGTTCTTTTAAAGTCACTTCTTTTCAAACAGAAATGTTCTGTGAGAAATTAACAAAAGCAGCTGTCTTGCCCCTGGCTAATTGGGGCATAATTGAACATTATGTCTGGCTTAGATGAGCGTTGTTACGTTTCGTGCCTCATAAACTTTAATAAGCGGAAACACACGTCAGCACGTCAGCAAGAAGGCTTTTGACGTCTGATAAAGCAGAGGGATGAAGCATACCTGAAGAGAAATGCAAGATGATTAACTTACCTTTAAAAGAGATTCAACCATAGAAAACAATTTTGCCTCTTTGAATAAATATAAAAAACATCCAGTCATGGATATCCAATAAAATTAGATACTTCTTGAATGAAAATTTCATTTAAATTTAGTGAATGTCCATATGCACTTTTAGCCATTTCTTTATACCGTTCCTCATCAGAGTATATTATTTCATAATTACATAACTTTGCACTGAAAAAAATTTCAGTGCAATTTTTAAAATGGTATAAAGAAAAATCTTTTTTGTTGTTATAATAACTAGTGTCTCACTGATGCAATTTTTTGGCCTTGATATCGATATTCGATACCCTGCTGTGCAGTATTGCCGGATATCTGTACCATCTGTTTGAAATTGGTGTGTGTGTGTATATATGAAGAACTGCATACTACTTGGATGTAAAATAATTGCCATCATGACTTTGTCAAGCTGCTGCCTACCTTTGTGAAGCAGGAAAAAGACTAATACAAAGTGAATACAGTGAAACTTTTTATTGCCTACCTGGAATGGGTGAGAATAGTTAAATAAACGTTTGTCTCTCAAAATGGTATCAGTGTCCTATTTTTCTGTACTCACTGATACCAATACCACCATTTCAGTGCTGGATTGGGGCCCCACCTGATACTGGTATCGTGCAACACTAGTAATACCAGTATTACTATTGGCGTTGCTCCAAATTTACCTTTAGAAAAATGTAACTGAATGATGTCACTTCCCATTTCTCTTTGATGCTGGCAGGAAGAGGAACATTTTTCTACTGGGGATTTAACTGTTGCCATCCGTAGGATAAAACATACCAGAATCTTTTAGCAACATTGCACTGAATATTAAAATGTAGTTTCTAGAAAACTAGGGATGTCCCGATACAACTTTTCATCTTAGATACGAAGCTGTTATTGCTGGTTTGGGAATTGACCGATACAGCTATTAGCCCGATAGTGCATTAGCAAGAATCATTCCAACATTATTTTATAATGTAGAATGTTAGGAAAGGCTTGGTCAAGTTATATGACTAAAACAGGGAACAAAAGTCAACAAAAGGTATGAGAACAACTGACCCCTGTAAAAAATAACCTATATTACAGAAACATTGAACAGAAGAGTGTTTCTATCAGCATGAAATGATCAGAAATTTTAGGTACCGGCCCATAAAATACAATATTAGTTTTTTTGGCTATATATAATATCGGATCGATATTTAATATGATAACCAGATCGGAATATCCCTACTGAAAACCTGATCTTAGGTTCTTTACTATGACTACAATCCCAAAGATATGACCAGGTTAACTCAGAATTGTCACACTAGACAGATGTTTTGGGTCATCTCAGTTCACAGACTTCAATCTGTTTTAAAATCTTGGTGAGAGAAGCTGAACAGAGCACCGAGGAATACAAACCAATAAAGAAATAGAGAATTGTTAAAGAACAGGACAATGAATTTGGTCCATCTGTATGTGATAACATTGAACAGTACCTGCAGGTTTATAAGCTGCATGTCAGTGTTGTAAATCCTGTTCCGCATCATTCTAAATCTAATCTACTGGATCCAGATAGCATTTCTCTTAGGGAACAGATGTGGCACTCGATATGGTTTGATGCCTCAGCATGCTTCAGGACAGTTTCTTGTGTGGTCAGAATTATATTATATCTATATATTATATATACTTTCGTATACCTTGGTCGAACAAGGGATTATTTAAGTTACTGTTGCCTTTTTATAATCTCAAACCACTCTGTCTATTTATGGTCTGACCTGTTTAAAACAATATGTCCAAGGATATGTCCCTTTTTTCAGATTTTTCTCCATAAACCCAGAGATGGGTCCACATTCAGCATTTGAGATAGAAATACACCGGCCACATTCAACTGTACTTTCATCACTTTTATCTCCCTTCATTTTAATTTAAATCTGAGACAGATTCACTTCCCTACAGAATGCCCATATTCTTATCTTCAGGTAACACAGAGTACATGTCAGATTAAATAATACTACTTCAGCGATAGTATCTAGGTGTTACTTTATTGTATGTCTCGTACCATGTCTGTTGGTTGTGCTGTTATTTTTACATCTATTTGCAGGTGATGAAGCAGACTGAAAATGTTTTGTCATTATCCCCCTTTTATCTCCTCTTTCTTTCATCTTTTCTCATTTTTTCTTGTTTTTCCTCTTCTGTTCTACTTACATTGCAGTGTCCATATAATCTGTAAAACTCCCTGCATAATTATAATAAAGCAATTTATATGCATGAAAAAAAGCAGAACAATATGGCAATAGCCCTACTGCCTCACTTGTGAAAGTAAAATCTGCTGGGCTTTTTTGGCATCAAGACAATTATTATTATTGCCACATTGCCAGACAGGACACTGTAAAAAATAAAATAAAATATGAGACAGTTGTCTAAATAGATGGAACTGTATTTTTGATCAAAATGGCCCAAATAAATATCAACAAAAAAAAGGTTAAATGGTTATTTCTTGGGAATAGGCAAACTTCCTTTTTTGTGAGAGATGTAAAATGTGTGAAAACATAACATAGCTCTGAGTCAGAGCTGACATGATCAAGATAGCTCTGACATTTAAGCAAATAAAAAAAATAAAAAAACGACTCACTCACCCAAACTATTAGGACAAGTTGGTGCTGGTTTCTACTAATGTCATAGAGAAAAAAAAAAGTACACACATGCTGCTCAACTCTTTAAAAGAAGTATCATGCCTTTATCTCATCAACATGGGATGGTTCACCATCCAAAATGTCTCCATTCACTTATTCCCAAATGCTCAACTTTCCCTCTTCCTGAAAAAGACAATCTGAACCTCAGAGAACAGTAAAATATCCAAGCCAAATTAGATTCTAGGTATCTAAAAAGTTCTCTATTCCCAAGTCCTTTGTTTATCTCAAACAGCTTTTTTCACACCGGCAATTAAAGGCACACACTCTGTATGAGAAAAAAAATGCTATTGCTCAGACCTGTTTTGCTCAGACATTGTCAGGACTAGTTGATCAAGCCTGGTCTTGGTCTGATTTCCTTTAACTGTCTTAAAAAACATGTCATAAAGATATAATGATGAATTCAAACTCAATAAACAAAAATTAAAAAACATTTTATTTCAGAAACAGCTACAAAAATATTCTAGTTTTAGTGCTATTTGTTCAGTAGTGCTGCTATAGCTTTGTAACTTCTCTGTAAAATAGCTGCACATTTTTCTTTACAGTGGCTGAAGAAACATACAATCAACAATCTCTTTAAAATGAAGAAAAGATCCAAACTTGTCCAGCATTAATAAGTCTCTATGAGCCAATCCTTCTCATCACAGACGGTCCTTGTAGGTGGGTCCTGGAGGGGATCTGCCTCTGTGTCTGTTGGTCCAGTCCGTGGATGTAGTGGTGGTTCTGGGGATACATGAGCGCCCCGAAAGAGTCTGCGATCCCATAAAAAAGTACAAGTACATAAAATGCCGTTCCAATGGCGTAGAGTTTCAAGGCTGCGGCTGTCAACATGATTCCCATGGATGAACTCAGGTGCCTTCAACAAAAACAGAAAACATCACTTTAAATGACTTTCATAAAATATCATCAAGGAATTTCAAAATACATTTTCCGTAGTAATAGGAAAAAATGCTTTTCAACATTCTGTCCACCATAATGATTCGGTTAAGCATAACAGAGCATGTGATTGTAAATTTGAGTAAAGAAAAAAAGTTTTTAAAAAGCTGTCAATTAGTCAGTCTATATTCCCACCCTCACCTATGGTCACAAAATCTGGACCTCGATCGGAATAAATAATTCCTGAATACAAGCGGCTGAACTGATCATCTAGGAGAAGCTTGGAGGAGTCAAAGGAGTCAGCTGACGTGGCTTAGAGGTCTTTTTCGGATGCCCCTTGGACGCCTCCCTCAGGGGGGAAACATCACCCTGGGGACAAACTGGGAGGACGCGCTACAAGAGTGGAAGGCAACAAGCACTAATATGAGTTTTCACTTTTTTTTCTCCACAGAGTCTGATTCCTGATTTTGTTTTTTTACATTTAATGCTTGTCCCTCATTTTCTGCCCATTTAGAATGCCACCAATGAAACATAGACCTAAAAAGAAAATCTTTAAATTGTGTTGTGCATTTCCGCTGAGCCTACCAGAGGTAAACGGTTTAGTAATCATGGTTGTGCATCGAAACTTACTTGCAAATAAGAGCAATAAACAGAGATACAGTAAACAGGCACATGGTAACTCTAGAGTTAAAGAGTAACACTTGTGAAATGTAAATCCCTTTATTGTCCCAAAATGGTGAATTTCACTCTCTGCATTTTCACCCATCCCCTTGGGGAGCAGGGGTCTTGCTCACGGACCCAGAGTGCAGGCTGGTGGAACAGAATCGGGTACTTGCAACCTTCTCAGAGCACAAGCGCACTGCTCTAACCACTAAACAACATTAAGGCAGACCACATAAATTAGCCTTTATATAAATGTAAAGAGGGGAAAGGAAATGTTTCAATTACCCAGTTAGCTTGTAAAGTGATAATTTTATTCTCCATTAAAAACACTGGCAGACAGAAAAATAGGTAGCCTTGAACACATTGTTGTCCATTCAAACATGAAGCATCAAGATATCAGAGTCAATTTGTGAATCTATAGAAAGATTTGAAATATGGTAATCACCAATGTTTTTTTCACCATATCTGATATATGTTTATTTATTTTGATTTTTTTTTTTTTTTCATTTATGAAGAGGAATTGACAAACCTTCAGCTGCAGAAATGTTTAAAGGACAGAGAGCTGTATGCTGTTTAGCTTATTGGCAACAGATCCACACAACTCACATTTTTTTTTTATAAATTGACAAATTAAAACAATAGGGGTTTATTCTAATCCACGATTACGCGTATTTTTACACATTATTTTAGACAATACATTAAACTTAGTGGTTGTAACGTAAGAAAATATGTGAATGCGTTAAAAAAAACATCTGAAACGAACTTTGTAAAATAGAAATATCGCTATAAAAGCGAAATGCTGCTGCCAGATGGTATTAATCTAAAACTAACCCGACTGCAAAGTCTGATATAAACAAAAGGAGACAAAACCAAACCATTTCTATAAACGGAAGAACAGAAAGCTGCTTATATCAGCGAATACATCCAGCAGAAATGTATGTAAACTTACATACCAATGTTAAATAAAAGCTTTCGGTCTTCTGTGCAGCTTTGTGGGAATCCAACAGAAGCCAGAAGAGCTTTAAAGAGTTCCGTCTGTTTGCGGCCAGATCTGCGCTCCGACTGAGCGCTCCTCTCTGCAGCTGCTGCAGCTGCTGCTGCCGCTGCTCAGGAGGCAGCTAGTCACTTCCTGAACCTCCTCCCTGCAAGATCTTGGGTTTTTTCCACGGGAATTTTTTCAATATTTTTTTATACCTAATTAATGCCCTTGCATTAATGAGTCATTCAACACTCATGACCTGATTTATGCCTCTGTAGACTAATACTGCAAGCTTGTTTTCAAGAAAATGTGTTTTCCCTAGTTTATCACAGAGGCGTAGCCAGAAAGGTTTTTTTAAGGGTGGCCAGGCAATAATCAATATACACTGAGGGGTGGCCAGAAGTTGATAGGCGCCAGAACCTCAGCACTGTTTCAACAGGAAAATTAATGAGCATAACATCCATATTTTCTACATAAACTATCCTTTCCTAAAGCGTTTGCCAATAAATAGATGGATATATTTAAACACCCGTGCTTTCTAGATAAAAGATATGGTGCGGGGTCAGCAACCTGTGGCTCTTTAGCGCCCCCCCCGCCTTGCGGCTTCTTTGTTTTAATATGGTGTGCAGGAAATCAAACAAAAATTTATTATGTTTTGCAATGCTGTAACCATTTGTACAATAAATCAATTTAAACAATAATTTGCATCATAGCAATAGAGATCAGTGGTCATAACTTGCAACCAGTGTGGCGCAGTGCCAGGCAAACAAAGCTGCAGGTGTGTCTCAGACCATGAATTCCAGAGGGAAAAAAAGGAAGATAGCTGATGAGAAAAGAGGATTCAAATAGACAGAATCATTTGCTTTCGTTATCGATGTGGAAGGATTGCCTGCATTTTTGCTTTGTTATGAGAGGTTGTCAAAAAATAAAAAATTAAATTTGGAAAAGCATTTCCAGGGAAGGCTAAATATACAGCCGACCACCAAGTTGGGAGTGAGAGAAAAAGTGCGATTGCAGAACTTCTGGATAAATTAGAGGAGCGCAAAGATAGATTTATGAAGTGGATTGCATCTCTAAACTCCACTACTGCTGCTAGTTTTGTTGCAAGGATGGAAAACCTTGCACAGATCAAACAGGTAGCGCTCTGAAACAGGTATGTGAACTTTCTTCAATTTTTTCCTCAAATCCTAAAAAAATTAATCACACCAAGGAACGCTGGTTATGATGTGGGATTCCAGGGTTAGTGAGCTCTGCTCTGATGTATGTCAGTTCCTGTTTGGTTCCTCATGACTCAATCAGCTCCTCCCAACAGAAGCATGTCCACCGTAGAAAGATTCCTTTATTGTGTTTCTATTATTTCATCAATGCAACAAAACTTAAAAGGCGTGGTGAACGTCGGTTAAGCGGCGCATGGTGAAGTGTAGGGCGATGGGAGTGTTCACTGCTCCTCCCTCACCTCATGCTACTATTAGACATTTGCTTCAGGATAAACATTTAATTGTGAATGATTATCTTATATTTAAGCCCACATAGTCATTTTCTATAGTGGTCTAATACACTTAGAGCCCAGGTTGACTTTTACATTTTTGCGGCTCCAGACAGATTTATTTTTTGTTTTTTTTGGTCCAAAATGGCTCCTTGAGCAGTTCGGGTTGCCGACCCCAGTATAGTGGATAGAATTCCTTAAGATTTGAGCTCTAGGGTGAACATCTTTTCCATTGTCTTTACTTACCTACTTTTATCAATAATCATTCTGCATAAAATTTAAATTTACAAGTACTAATATCTACATAAATTGATTATTTAATACATTTTTTATTAAAATAGTTATTTATCTATAATTTTACTGAAAACTCTTAAATAACTTGTGAAGACACATAATTTTTTCTTTACCCCATATAACACAAAATCTAGTTCTGAAAAGAGCAATAATTGTGTATTTATCATCTTTAATGTCAGTATATTGATGTGCATAATTAACCACAGTGTTTTTGTTGTCAAGTAATATTCCACTTGAGAGTATTACTGCTGCCACCATCTGTGTTAGGGGGGAAGAAATGGTAGGGGTGGCCAATAATTGGCTAAGGGTGGCCTTAGCCACCCCTGCCCCCCCATATAGCTCCATCCCTGATCACAGCAAGCAACTTTAATTGTCTCCAAAACATAGCTTTTCCTACCAGGATCAGGGTAAAGATGAGAAGATACCACAGTTGACAGTTGGTTGGGGATGAGCCTTAATAAAAAAATTGAAATATAAGATGTGTACATTTTTTTTCTCCTTAATGTGAAATAAGGGGAACCAGGCTATAGAAAGCTTTGTCGTTTCTTTCTAATGCCTCCTTCTTATTTATTTTTGCCTTTATCAAAATATTGTTCTAAATGTCCAGCAGTGAATATATATATATATATATATATATAATTACCACTGGCACGCAGTGGTGCCAGTGGTAATTGGAGCACTGGGGGCTGTGACCCCCAAACTAGCAGATTCCAGGTAAAACATCAGAGGTCTCTGTCCAGAAGAGCGCAGTCCTAGGAACAGCTAAGATACTGCGCAGAACCCTCAAACTCCCAGGCCTCTGGTAGAGGACCCGAGCTTGAGGATGACACATACCACCCCACGAGGGGTGAGAAAACAGTTTTTTTATATATATATATATATATATATATATAAGGCATAGATAATCTTCAAGTTATACATGCCTTTCTGTTTTGAAATGTTACACAGATGGAAGATAATGCTTTGTTTTTTCTTTCCTTTTAGTGAAACTGATACTGCTGAGTCAAAAAAAAATAACACCAAAGTTCTGTAGATAAGGCTTAACAAAATACGCTAAAAGCCCCTAAATACTTCTTTATCAGGGAAAATAATCAGGGTTTCACTTTCCTTTGTGTTCAATTCATACTACTCTCAAAAATGTTGGCTTTGCAGTAAGTAAGTTAGTGAACAGCTATTTCTTATCTTATGTTTGATGTTTATGTTTAGATTTAGAAGGCCTTCTTACCAAAACCTTAATCTTTAGTTTCCTTTACAGATTCTGTCTCGTTCAGAGATTAACTTTGACTGGACGACCCATTTGTATTAGGACCCAGAAGAAAAATATTCGTAAAATAAAAAAGATTACTTTCAATCTAAGTCTACTGAGCGGAAAAATAAGCAAAAGATTCGCTTATTAGAAGTTATGGCTATTCAACTCTGGTCCACAAGCCTGCAAGTGTTAGATGCTTCAGTGCTACTGGAGTAGATCTAGAACATACTGAACACCTATTTTTAGACATCATAGTGTTAGGTGTTTTTCTATGTATCCACCAAATGTCCTGTAGAGTCTTTGATGCCATTACTACTGAAAATGTTTTGCTAAGATCTTTGAATCATAGGAAGAAATAGCTTAATACAGCTTTTTTGATTTTGCCCCATGAGTCAGCTGTGTACCTTGTTTTTATGTTGTATTTTGTTTAATTATTTCTGTTAAAGATGTTTACAGAAATTTTGTATACATGCACTTTGTAAATAAATACTATTGGATTAATCTACAGAATGATATTCATCCTAATTTTTGGTACATCCAAAAGAAACCCAGTCCTATTTTCTTGTATAGTAATTATTGTGTATATTCAACACAAACAGAAATTCCAAACAGATTATTTTGGCAGCTGAAGCTTCTTTTGTTACGTCCTTTAAACGCTTAATGAAAATCTAAAAATTTTTATATATATATATATATATATATATATATATATATATATATATATATATATATATATATATATATATATATATATATATATATATATATATATATATATATATATATATATATATGTATGTTATGAGGACTTAAATGTTCTCCTACTTCTTCAGATCAGACTCAGAAGATTGATGGTACAGCATGTTTTTAGTAATAATTGAAATGCTAGTGCTTGATATTTTCATTAGAGTAACAGAGGTACATCTGTTCATTGTTTATTTGCTGGTTCCAATAAAATAAAGCTTCAGTTATGAAATCTATTTATATTAAATATAGTAAAAACAAAATTAAAAAAAACTACAAAAGCACTGGCTGACATGAAAGAGGCATCCAGTTAATGTTCACTGACAGCGTTGCTGGGTGGTATAGCCTAAGGCCCCTCTTGTCTTTGCATATTACTTTGCAGATGTTTCATCATTTGATGAAATCTGCACAGGTGTTTCATAAACTAGGGGTGTCATCATTTTAATCTGATTTCATTTCGATAGTCAAATCCAGGCTGGATCACTGCTCACATTTGAATTCAAATAATTCCTTAAAAGAACCTGTTTGATAATGTGAACCAGGCTAAAAGATCCCAAAAAGCAACAAGTCATAGCCTGATCTAGTAGACTTTAATAACACTTCACAACACAGCCTGAGGTATTGCCTTTGAAATGGAGAAAACATTGAGCAACAGTGACCTGCCAACCAAAATTAATTCAAGAGCTTGTTTGCTAAAGATACATATTTCATATGAAAATAAAAAAAAACATTAGGCTGTAAGTTGCTTTATATTTTTTATGGACTTAAAGCATGGCTGGTTTATGTAAGCTGCGCTTTGTAGCCACACACCCACACACCTCTCACACACACACACACACACACACACACACCCACACACCTCTCACACACACACACACACCCACACCCACACACCTCTCACACACACACACCCACACCCACACACCTCTCACACACACACACACACACACACACACACACATACACTGTACTAGAAACTGCACCTTACCTGCACTACCTCAGCCTGGAATATACTATTGCTGCTGTTTTTATTGCTTTTATTGTAATGTCTATACTTTATATTACCTTATCTTCTTTTACATGTTCAATGTTAAATATTGAATGTTAACGTTAAATGTAATATGTTCTTTGTACTGTATTTATTATTGACCACTTATTGTTACCAGTCTATCACTGTTAACCGTCATGTCCCGCACTTTATGTCAGTCTGTAAATGTCAGTCTTGTATATTTCTTGTATATTCTAGAGAGAAAACATAATTTCATTTCCCTTGTATGTCTTGTACATATGAAGAAAGTGACAATAAAAGCTGACTTGACTTGACCTGAATGTCAGAGCCTTAACAGTAGGATCT